GTATGGGTCGCATGGACCTGTGAAATTCACAGAAGCGAGTGTCATTCTTCGGGATCTACAACATTTTCGCTCTTAACAGGAGTCTCACTATAAGAAGCTTACTTTTTATTTTGAAAAAAACTAAACATTTTTTAGGACCATGCATATTACAAAATAAGCTGAGATAAATATCCTTGCATGTCATATCTTCAAAAGTGATTACACAAAGGTGATACGAACTGTTGTAGTGCATATTGGTTTGCATTGTGTATACTAAAGTTAGCTTTACGTTGGACTAGTAATATGATTATTAGTAAGTAAATCAAAGAAAGAATAAGATATTCAAAGCAGTGTGATGTACATGGTTAAAAAACACTATGACAGGTTCGGGAGTATACTATTTATATTCTAGACTACTAATCATAGTCCTCTTTTAGAACTATTCGTTTATTCGAAGTAAACATGTTATTTGTTCAAAAGTTAATATTTTTTCGTTTTTCAGCAACGTTAAAGGATGTTCCCCAAAGGCATACAATTCGCTAATAAACCTTGGAAGTGTGCAGTTGAACTACTTCATCAGGTATCTCGTGTTCTAATATATGTGTATTAAGAAATTCCCAAGATACTTAATCACCACCCTACTATCATTTCTTTAAGTGGTAACTTCTTGATAAAAATAATATATACATAGGTGTTCATGATATACCGAGTCTGACAAAGTTATGGGAAGATTTTATCACGGATGTGAAACCTAAAATGGTACAACCGTCGACCGCGTACAAATTGATGCGGGAATTTTTAGATGTAGGTCATATTTTTTTATGAATTAAATAACTTCTAGACAAATTTTGTCGAGGCAAACATTGACTTTCATACCTGTTTATCCTCCCTCTTATCAGCAAAATTCATACGATATAATGAATTGGACACGTATACTCTGGGATTATTAATTTCGACTATCAAGGTTGGACTTTATGTCGTTTTGTAATTAATAGATTATTTAAAGGAAAAGTGTGATCATTTTGTAGCTCGACGGCTTTTCTCGCATTTTTATGAACCTATCCTATCTTTGAAGTTAAATATTTCAGAGGGTAAGCTACTTTGAGTATAATTGGAGATCTTTTTGTATATGCTTCAAAATATTTATTTCATTAAAACTATTTGACTTGAAACGTCTTTTAATACTCAGGCACTTTCTCCTCCAAATCTATAATTCTTCAAAATTCCTACTGGTACTCCACGTTCCCTTCCCTCAGAAACCTACTAAAATTCCTCGTTTTTCTTAGATTCTACGCAAAATCCGTATTTCTCGAAGCTTTCTAGATTTACTGTTCGACGACTAGGTTCGTTACCCAGCTAGTGAAATTAAAGTAGGTAAAGTAGGATTTGTGTATTTTATTCAATATTTAAGGGTTGAGTACTTCGACAGTAATGTTTCATGCTACGGGTCTCTCCCAACATTAAGATTAAAAACATATTCTGTAGGGACCTAATCCCTCATGTTCCTTCACATTAATTATTACTGTTACTTTTTGGCTGTGAATCTTTGCAATTTTATTAATTGGTGACTGGGATTTAGAATTAAGCATGAGGCTGAAATTACATCGTGGCAAGAAGAAATCTTCACTCAGCTATCCTATTTCTAATGGTTTTGAGATTTACATGTAGTTTCGTTGAATTATAGTTTGTAATTAGTATAATGTATTTTGACATATACTTTATTATAGACGGCACATATTCGATTTCTCAAATGGAACTTATTAATCGACTTGAACAGTTAACTAACTATTGGGTAACATATTTATCTAGCGAATTTCCCTGTAATATATCCAAATTCGATCCAGCTCACTTTTTATTCGATTGGATTAGATTGGCATATTGTTTAACTGTTAGTGGCATAGTTCATAAGAGGATGAATTACTTCAATGTTGGCGTGCAGTTTTTAGTTGTAATAAAATCAAAGAATGTGCAACAATATGACAATTTTATAAAATATCTTGTAAGTTATCGATATTATCTACGATTTATTTTCTATAAATATTGTCTTGGTTATATCCTTGTTTGTGTTGAAACCTTGTAATAATATTGATGCTGCTTAGTTAATCATAGTCATGTACTGCTACTCCACCATAACAATATGGATCTAAATGATATAGGAATAAACTGGTTGTTCTCCCCAAACCTTCTGGTAAATAGGAAAGTGGGAAGAGTCATTCCCTCCTCTCGAACTGTTTTCACACATTGCAGAGTTTATAACCTCTTCTCAAGAGGTACTACTTTCTGGTATCATATGGTGGTGTTTCCTGACGATCGAGAGCGTGGAATTGAACACAGCTTAGGTCAGTTCGATCAATGCAAAGGGTCCATCCGAGAGCTATGAAATCAAATTAGTCCTCCTGGTGAAACAAGTTTTTAGTGAACTCACTGTAGTTACCAGTTACCATGCGGACTCATCTTGACGTCTCTTTACCTGTAGTTTGTAGCTTACGTTTTTGGTTATTATTTAAAAGCTACTTGTCTATGGTGCTTCTGATTACCCACCATTTGTCTAAAAATTTATGAACGTCGTATTTCTTTTGGGCGTGGTCACAAATTACCGGTTTTGGTGTCGTAATTCGTTTCTAAGCTTTGTTTTTTCACATATCCCTTCCTTGGTTATTGTACATTCCAGATTGACGAATTATGGCATTCATTGGCAAGTTTATATCTCCGAGCAACATATCATTCCTCAAAATCACCTTTATCTGGTAGTGAGGATTCGTCTAATTCTGTAAACATTAGCTCTTATATTCAGGGCTCTGCAGATCAGGATCTTGTTGACTCTTATTATCAAGAATTCGGCATACTTTTAAAACTCTCTCGTTTAACTTCCAATTTAAATTGTTCAACCAAACTTGTGATCAACGATCAAACTCTTGATAAGCTGACTTGTCTCATTTTTGACCGTCTTGCAACTCTTTGTTTTTATCAAAGTGATATCACTGTGTACAACCATCCATTCGTCTACCATGCTTTATTCAGCGTAAGTACTTACAAGTTTTTATTTTACCCGCCATTTTCATTAGTGCGAATTGTGAATTAGTGTTATATTTAAGGTCGAGTTCTTATCATATTATTATCTTAACTAACTCTTTAATTTAAATCTCGTAATATTTTGAACCTCAAATATGTTGGAAGACGTTAGACTCGCTGGTGACTTTACCTCAAGTTCTGTTCACGCATACACCCCAGGGTCTGTGAATATGCTTGCATATTTTAGAAAGTCTTAGATGTCAAAATCAATTAGGCAAATGTTTTTCTGGTTCATCCATATTTGGAGAGGACATGGATTTAATGCACGACTAACCGCTTTTTGAGTAAGAAGTCCTAATTTTCTTTTGCAGTCGGTCATTTTTTTCACTAGTTTTGATCATTGTCTTTAATGTATGCCTAGTATGACAAAATAAATGTCCCTTGATTTATGTAAACTGCACATACTGCCAACTTCTTCGGACATCATATTAATCGCCATTTGTTTACTCTTCTCTATAGAGTAGGGATTTACTAGGGGATCCAAAATGTGCTCTACAACTGAAGTGATAATGTTGTAAGAAAATGTAAGAAGAAAAATCTGTATACTTAATAACCACAAACAACTGAAGCCCTTTTTTAAGAGGTGGATTTCCGTTAAAATTATTCTGTCAACAAAGTTCATCTAACGTTTTTGAAATATAACAATCGGAAACTGCAACGGTATGTCCACTGGCTTTCATCCTGAGTCACACCCTATGGCTTCACTCGTCATTCGGTTGAAGAATCTCTAAAATCACAACTGGAGAGTTGAAATGGATCAACGGATGCCAGTCATATACAGCTACCTTTCATGTCATGGTTTCACGATATAAACTAGACAACTGTTAGCCTTTTCCATCAAAATAGGGGGGGGGCAGACCATTTTATCCATTTTGTTATTCATGTTATGAAACATTGAGAGCGATTGAAGCCTTTTCAAAAAACCATTATCTTCATTTTCTTTACAGGAAGAACAATCAATATCTGTAAATAATTGGTCGGAGTTTTTGTTGAAGCCTTTGGCAAATTTTACATAAAGATCACTACTTTTCTTTCTTGTTTTATTAATTGTATATATATTTGAAATGATACTAATTTGTTACACGAGTTCATTTATTTCACATGCGGTGGCGCTTCCAATGTCTGTTAACCATTTGCCAAGGTTAGAAGTGAAGTGTGCATAAGGAAGTTTTGTGTTCTACTAGGATGTTAGTGAATAGTGAGTTTGATCTAGTCATGTGTTTTGGTATCAGAATTAGCTTTCAACATTGCATGGAGGGGTATCAGTTGCTTCGTTTTTTGTCGAAGTTAAACTTTTCTGCATACAGTGTGAAATTAAGTCATCTTCCAGGCAGTTAATACTAGGTTTTGATATTTTCATGCTGCTTACCAACTCGTGTCGAACGATGACTTATTGGTTAATTAATTCGAATTTTCGATCGTTCACAGGTTTAACTCTCTATCTAGTTTGGCTGATGACACTAGTCTTTACGCGACAGTTTGGCTCAGTACTGAGTACCAAAACCTGTACTTGGTAAATTAGTATATGTACAACGGGTGATTTGAAAAGTATATTTATTCTCATTTGTATGATTGATAAAGTGAAACAATAGTTCAGGGCTTAAGGCGTCCGACTTTTAGCTACTAAGTAGCAGTTCTGAACTTCACTCTTCGCACTTCATTTTGGGCAACCGTATAGTATCACTAGCCCTAACACTTAAAGTATGGCTCTAATTCAATTACATGAATCTAAATGAAACAATTTCTGCTTTCATCAAGTGTTAAAGTACGTTACGGGAATTACCAATTTGATAGTTCCATATAGTCAGATGTAGTATTCTGCTTACTACCATGCATAACCTGTGCTGTTTAGGGTATTTTTGCGCACAATCTCGAAGGTTTAAAAAACGGATCAAGTTCAATGCAATTGTTTAAACATTATTTAAGTGACTGCATAAAAAGTAAGACATTTATGTTACTAACATCGTCTTGAAGAATAACAGTAATTGGTGTACAGTTTTATAAATTATAATAAATGATGAAAGTCAGTAGTTTCTTTATTATATTTATCGTAAAATTTAAGCTTATCCGATAGACTTACATCACTTGAATAGGGTAATAAATTAAATTTAACCCAATTTTTCTGTTGATAGATTCTTCGAAATAATCCACACTTTACTTTTTCCAGTTGACTGATGATATTCATGTGTAAAATTTGGTCATTCTTTATCTGTTTCAGTGTCAAATTAGTAAAATTTATCGGGAATGAAAAAATTCTTCATCTCTATATTTCAATGAATTGAAGACTTTAGAGAAAAAGTGTTTAAAACTTAGTAGTCTACTGATTATATTGAGTTATTCGAGTTGTAAACGTTTCGCCTCTGAACAGTCGCCTTCGGTGATGTCCTAGTTTACCAGCGTTGACATCATATAGCCAACAAACAAAATAACGTGTCAGTCTATTTTGGATTGGATGCTTGTGTATTTTTAGAATGGGAAACAGTTTATATGAAATAACTCTAACTTATAGTGACATACATTATAAGAAATTTGTACCAAATATTTACTCGTTATCTACTAACTAATTTTAAATCTCTAAGATTTGTTAGTCAGGTTGACGTATAGGAAAGAATAGCTTGAAACTTATGGGTAGTTGGTGTTCCAACGTCGTATACCTTAAAGTTTGAGTAAATCTACGGGAGGAATGATTGATCTCATGGTTTAATGTTACATGTACTGTCTGACGTGTTCATTGTAGGTGGTAGGTTTGAAACTAAGTGGAGTTATTGTCTTGTTTACTGTAGTAACCGGATTTTATTGATGAAGCTGACAATGTAATGAGTAACGTAATGGTATTGACGCTGTGTCGTGGTGCGCTTGTTATTTTCAGGTAGTTATAAATCTCGACCTGGGTTTTATGCTTATCGACATTCAGCGACAAAAAGTAATCGAAACCGTGAGGAATCTCAGAGGTTTACAAGTTTCGGAATTTTGTCTTTCAGCTCATTTAAATTACATCTGATCACTAGTTGGACCGAATTTCATTACTTGTCTAGTGTGACTGTAAACGTTAAACATAATTACCAATTAAGTGTGCTGATGAAATGATCTTTGCCAAAAATAACCATCCTATTATCATAAATACTTTTAAAAAAGAAAAAAACTTACATCTGGATGTCCTGCTAATCTCGTTTTTGATTCATCTAATGAGTTATTACTTGGTTTGTGAGTGTTAAACATTCTTGAGTCCACACATTGTTGATAGCGTAACTGCAGAAATGAAATTTTAGACGTAGCTTTAGCTAAATCAGTTTCTGTAAAAATCAAGTTATCTCTCATTTACAACAATTATGTCCAGGGTTTCCTGCTCATTACCTTAAACCACCTAACACTCGAACATAATATCAAGTCACTCATACCAGTGGCCTTATTTCAACTTGCACAATAAAATCCTATCAACACTAAACGACTAGAGTAACATGGCATTAGTCACTACTCAGTACTCAATCAGTCGTACACTTAATGTTTATAGTATTAAGATACGACAAATATAAATTCAACGAAAAAGCCAGAAGTGAATATATATGAAGTTCACAGACAATAACAATAAGATGAATATATAACAAATTTAATCTTTTTGTATATACTGAACTGTTCACAAATTGTTGATTTATTTCTAAGTAGTTCCGTACAATAGTTTGTTTACTCGTTATCAAACTTTGGGACTTATTTCTTAAGTTAATGGAAGCTTATTCAAATAATTTCTATGAAATATTCTGTCTTCTTGCTGAAGCTTCTTTATTTTCTAACCCTTGTACTCACCTAGATTGTTTTTATTCATATTAATATATTGCATTAAAGAGATATTTGTTTTAATGGAGTTCGTTGTGAGTTTTTAGCTAATCTAATGAAATGGATTCTCTTATCTAACAAAATGTATACATTTCGAAGTCAGATCTTATATTCATATGTTTTATGCATTGAGACAGAATTTCTCTAATTTTATCGATTACCTAGTTATTAAGTAAAGGGAGGTTGATTATGAATACAGTGGTTTCGAGTGCTGCTAGAGGTATAAGGGCGGTTATCACTTCCCGGTTTCCCACACCGTGGAAGAGTTCTTCTGGAGGTACCTGAAAAGGAAATTGGATTAGAGGTGGTCTTATTGGCCTGAGAGCGTGACCGCAGTACCCAAGGGACAACTGCTTGAGGTCGGTCACACACGACCTTTTAATGGGCAATTTTCGTGCTAGCTCCGTACTTGTTGAGACCTTACCGCCGGAGACGGATATCCCTGGGATAAGGCGAGGTGTACATTTTTAGGTTCGACCTTTTCTAACCCCACCCCTCCTTGTGGAAAGGCAGCATCGCTGTCATGCTGGTTGTCTGAAGGAAACACCTTACTGCTGTCACACCTCTGTACAGTCAGCAGTACGACTTCGCCTTCGGACCTTGGGTTTATTGTTTTTAGTCTTACCGCTCTTCAACCGACCTGTCTGACATGGTAGGACCTTGAGGAACGGTTGTTCCTGCCAGTATAGCTCAGTTGCTTCATCATGATAGGCAAGCCCGACCACCACGTCAAGGTAGCAACAACGGTCGGGAGTTATTAAGTAAAGTCAATTATTAACTAATGATGGGATCAACGACGCATATTTCGTACTATTTAGGACTTCTCAACTGAATGTACCTTTCCAATTGTGATATGAATACTAAAACTCTGCCGTACCTTTCGATGTAAACTTTAAATGAATTATCTGTTGAGTTACTTAATCTAAATAGTCACTAACTTATGAAACTGGAGGTGAATTTTATTTTATTCATAATGTATCTCACTAATTATCATAAAATTTATAAATAGAATCATTTTGTAATGACTTACTTCACAAGCTGCTTTAAGTGTTTTACATAATTCCATAGCATTTGTTGGACAAGTTAAAACATGACATAAAAATAAATTATCAGCTGTATGTTGTATAATACCACAAATTCTGAAAAGTAATTTTTTTTTTAAGAAGAAAAGGTATATAAAATAAATAAAGAATGATAGAGAAATATTTCTGTCCAGTTTCTTATAACTTTTAAGTGAAAGAAGGTATGATGATTAGGAGTATTTGAATTATGGTATAAACTAAGAATCATTATAAAATACTCAACTTAATAGAATCAGAATTACAAGACTTAATATTAGTTGCAGTAAGATGAACATTAGTATTACAAACTGACTGAATATGTCCAATATCATCCCATTTAAAGCACTTAAAATTACGAAATTTACATGAATTAAGAGAGTGGAACCTGCCACAGGACAAACATTGACCAAATTTGTGCTCATCTTCGTGAATTCCATCGCAACTCAATAAATTATCTGCATAACCTTGAGTATGCACTGGGTTGGGGTGACGTAATGTAGTGGAATTTTTTTATAGCCTCATGAATCGTTTTACGAAATATTCCTCCTTTACGACATTCGGAATTTGTATGCTAAAGGTAGTCTAGCAGTAGATCCTTGAGAGTTGTTTAAGAAGCGAAACGGGATTTTCCAGTAAAGCTAGAGTTTTTAATAAGCTATATGATTCTTTTCCAATGAATGTGAGAAAATGTGCTACGGTATTAACATCCTCATCATCTTCTTTGATCATAGCTCAGATTTCGAATCTTTCAAAGTAATCCTCAAAAGCATCAAAATCTGAATGTATGTCCAACCGTTCCATCACAAGCTCAATCGCGACGCCAATATGATGATTAGGAGTATTTGAATTATAGTACGAACTAAGAATCCCAGAAATAACGTAATCGGATCAAGAAGTACTAGATAAACACGAACGGATGCACTGTATTTGGAATTTGAAATCAAGCATTCAACAAGTACAAAGGAATCATTAGTTCATACAAACACCACAGAAGGTCATGTGAAAGGTTTCATAGTCTATAAGTAACTTTACAAACTTAAATATTATGTAATATGAATTAGTTTGAAATGTTTACAGAAAATTTAAAGCTTTGTCAAAATGTGAATATTTTTATTGTTGTATGGATGAATGATTCTAGAATTTGTATTTGTTCAATTAGAGCTAAGATCGAATGAAATCATAATTTTAGACTTTTGATTGTTGCAAATTCATGACTTTATTAAAGATTCTTGTATTAACTTGTCAAATTAATGACTATCTTGTGATTTAGTTAATTATAATAATATCAGGTGGCCTGTTTGAATATCTGGGTTACCTGTGCCTGCCATATGGATATTTCAACAAGTTTTCTGTTTTCTTGTTTAACATATCATTATGCCCATTAGTCACATAAGCTATTCAGGAGCGTTTGTGAAAAGTTTACGACATTTCACTATACAAGTTAGGAAAGAGCACAGTCAAAGACATTTTAGTTACCAACAATATCCATCGAAAACAATATACATTATTCAGATGTCGATTCCTCAACTGATAACATCTAACTGGCGACCACTGAATATTTATCGCAAGGATCGATCAAGAAATAAGAAAAGGAAACGTTGAAATTCTTTGCTCTGAGAATTCTATATTGTGCCAAAAATATAATATTGAATAAACGCACCAATAATAATATTATTATTATACTAAAATTCTTTCAAATTCAAGTTCCCTAGTGGCTTTGATGTTTGGTGAAATCACTGTGTTAGTCCCGCCCAACTAAGTCGGATAAGCCATTGGGCCCTTAGGGAAAAAACATTAACAATGAGTGCGCAACTGAAGCACTGGAGAAAGCAAAGTAAACGGATACGTTACAGTTTGCTTTGCTGTTTTTGTGTCCACATTGGAGATTCGAGGTGTAATCAGTGTGGGTTACAACAGGTAGTCTTCGCTCATATTAGTACATTAATAATCAAAGAAGCATATTTCTATAAACACAGAAGTAGTATTAAGAACTAACCACTTAAGTATTGATTTGATGAAGTAATTCTAATAGATCTTGAGTGCTTGAGTATGATATCGATCGTAAGAATCAAAAATGCTTAGATACGAACCAAAGTTCTATAAAATTACAGTTTATCATTTCTGTATGAACCATTACATACATGAACTACAGAATTTTACTGATTCTTTTGTTTAAACGTTTATCATTTTATTCAGATGCAACAAAAAAAGGAGTAGTATACTTACTTTTCATCTTTATTGTAAATCCCGAAAAATGGAACTGAGCAAACGCGAAGATTTACAACAATATGTTTTTGATAATACTAATACAAGAGAGAACAAAATGGTATAAATTAAATTATATAGCTCTATGATACAATATTCTGATATTCATATTTAAATTGCTTTGGGAAAAAGTATGCATCATTCAGAATATGATTATTCTAAGACTTAACTTTAAACAAACAGAAAGGGGACTAGTTCTTACCGATTCACGTTGTCAACACAAATTGTTTTAGAATTATTAGGCATCTCATATACTATGCAGTCATATGGCTTCATTTATACTTTATGATTGCAGACAAGACTCTTTCTCATCGATTAACAGAACTTTAAATACTCCATAAAATTATATTATTCAAAGTTACATTTCAGGATTGGAATTACATGACATTTCTTTTTGAGTTTTGCTTCAAAAAGCTAAAAAGGCAGTATTTGGAAACCGTTTGTTTGAGTAGTAAAACTTAGCTTCACATTCAATTTAAAATCGGTCTAGATAAATAACTTAACCGAAGAGCTTTCATTATCGTATTGAAGAGCATCATTAGTGTGGTGTGTGCTACTTATATTAGCATAAGTAGTATATCATGTTCGTCGTGAACAGAAGGTCTGTCAGCATATAGGCAAGAGGATCGAACAGTAAAGAATGGAAACAGGATGCAATTTGTATGAAAATGCAAGAACAATGAAGTCTGAGTCATTTTGAGACAATTGATAGACATTTTGCAAATTAAGTCTTTACTTTATGATTGTTAGATTTTATTAACAAGTCCTGTAGTTTTGCGTCAAACACATTCGGTTGTTCCCAATAGTGTTTTTGCTCACTACATTTAGCACTTTAATTCGTGACTTCTATATGAAGTAAGGACCGATGAGGTTGACCAGAGCAATAGTCGAAGTTCTACAGTTAAGCTATCTAGCTCACGGAATAAAGCACCTCCGAGAATATCCATTTGGGCTGTAAATCTTCATTATTTCAAGATAATGATTTAAAATATCTTTTTATCAAGTACATTAACAAAACAATAAATAGTTGACCGAAAAATAATATCGTTTAGGCTATAAACAAGTTTAAAAAAATCTATACTAAACTAAATGTTTGACTAATGTTTGGCTAATATCTTTCACATCATATTTGTTTTTGTAAAACAGTTATACAACTATTTTATACCTAAATATGTATTAACAGTTTACTAATTACCAAGCAAACGGTCGATGTTTTCATATCTATAACAGTTTATAAATGTGTTTTAATAGTAAAATTAAGTAAAAAATCTCAGTTCTGCGAAGTCTAATATATTTTGACTTCAGAAAGGGAGAGATAGAGAGTTCTTAAAGTTATAGCGACAAATCATTATTGGTGGTTTTCAACCACATTTTGGATGAGACGGCTATCATTGATAACATTAAATGATAGCTCGAAAATATCGTTAATCGAGTGCAGCCGGAAATACGAATCATTGAATGGTGACTCAGAGTTACCGTGTTCCCTGCATGAATTTTAGTCTTAATCATGACCCCTTTTAAAGTCATTAGTGTAAAACAGCTTTCAAATAGCTTTATGGGTGCAGTCGGTTCATGGTTAAAGCTATTTCCATGGTGAATAAACACATTTTAATCAAACTTTGGTTGTTACTGACAGTTACATTAGGATTATGAGAACTATAAAGTTTAAGTGTGATTACATTCAACAAGAAAAAGACAAAATAGCATTTTGTCGGTGAAAGACATGGGGTTGATTAATTGATTTATGAACAAGCTGAAAATAAGATATCAATGAAATATTCTATGCATGATGTTAAGTACTTGGTCTTTAGTCGAAGTTTTATATCTGTCACTGTTTATCAATCATGTTTTCATTACTTTAAGAGGAGTGATGTCTTATTGTGGTATTTGTACTCAATGATGATTCTTTTGTATTTGATTGGGTGCTTTATTGTGAATTTCAAATATAATTCGTCTAGTTGTGTTCATTTAGTTCTACCTGTCTTGAATTGCACTGTTTTGAGAATCCTTAATTAAAAAATCAGTTTGAATACTCCTTATTATCATATTTATTTAAGATTTAAACCTGTAACTAATAGTGATAACTTCTGAGAGGTTTCGGACTTTGATGGAGTTTTGTTCTCGGATCTGAATGGTTTGTAGAGAACAAAACTCCACCAAAATCACTCAAATGAACTACAAATCTTCTCCACCATCTCAGGTTTTGGACTATTTATATGTACTGAAAACTAACCTGATGTAGAGTTAAATAGTATTTTCTTTATTCGCTTGATAGGAGAGTATCGATGAATTTAAGAAATTCATAAAATAAGTTTACTGAAGTAACTTGAATGTATTTTCATCTAACAAACCACAGAATAACTTGTGTTGATTACATTATCTTTTTTTATTATAATTTTTAACTTATAGGAATTTCATTAAAATGTAATCAAGTCGTTAACTTTTATTTTATGTCAACTAGGTTCTTTGATCAGTAAACGTTTTTCAACAATTAGTCAGTTAGCAACAACGTAGAACTTCGTACGTGCGTACATCGGTTTGAGTTGCCATATCACATTAGCACAGATATACAATTGGCGATTCAAATCTCATAATTGTAGAGGTAGTAAAAGTATAAACATTAGGGTTCGAAGATGTTTTTCAACAATCTTTTTCTATTCGTTGTTTCTTCGTAATCCTTTGTAACTCGAACCTCTTCTTTGTATGGTTTCGCCTTCAACATTTAAATACCAGTTAATAGTAACCATTGTGATAAATATGTTGTGGTCCTCTCTCAATTTCTTAAGTGGTTTTGATCTAAAGTTAAATGATTATTGTGAAACTTTCTATAATCATGTTACTAATGTAAACTTAAATCATTAGTAGCTGATGAGAAATTCTCAAATATAGTGAATTCATGTTATTCTTCGAATCTGGTTCTTCTCGCTTTATTTAGATTTGTCAAGCGATCAGGATGTATGAAATGACCAAACGATTACTACAGAGTGGTAGGCGATTTTTTTCACATTATGAAACACTTTGGTGAATAATCATAATCAACTTATTTCTCAGAGAAGTCTTTAGAACTTATTTTGTGTGCTTGTCTTTGTATTTGAACTACTGAACAAAAGATCAGGGACTAGGGTAGTGAATTCCAGTCAATAAATGACCAAATCTGGTCGGTATTTCAAGATTCAACCCAAAACAACTTGATTTTAGTCTGTTTGAGTTATTCCACAATCAAACAATATCTGTTTATAGGATCTAACGTAATTTTTACAATGTAAAGTACTTATGAATTTTCGTTCTGATGTATTGATAGTTCTCTGCACGATGAAATGATATCATTCAGTGAAATATTTAAATTTAGGAACATCAGATAACATATCGAATGGAACCCGAGATAACCAGATTCTGTAGTGAACAGAATGTTTTTAAACAACATTTATATCTTCCATGCATTCACAGCATAGTTCGACTATCATGATAAGTCTCATCAAAAGGCATTATCTACAAAGAAAATGAGGTGAAGAAAGTCAGTGCGCTAATCAAATTTTTTTGCAAATTACTTGCATAATTATGCTTAGCAATAAGAACGTTTTTCAAATTTAAATAAGTCCCTAAAGCCATGATTTGGTTTAAGATTGACTAAATCATTTATTCAGAAAAAAAGTTCGTTAGGTTTTAAGTTGTAAATTTCTTACGAAATTGACTGTTGATGGAGATATTGAAACATATACTGGAAGCCATTGATCTGGATGTACGTTCTTTAGTACAGTTTGAATAGCCTGATTCATTGTTCTCATACCTTGAAAAGAACAACCCGTTTAAGAATACAAGTTAAATTAAGGTTGAGTGGAGTAAATATAACTACAAAGGTGGATTTTTAAAGTGGATGTTGAGGAAAATTAAGTGATTTGATTACACAGTTAAGTGTAAAGTAAACAAGAATATCTGCGCTATCAGAGTTTGGGCTTACAAAGCTAAACTATTCAGGGTGTATAACGATACAAAGTTCTTATAAAAATGCAGCAGTACTGTACATGGTTACATTTCTCCGAACACACAGTGTTTATCTTCGTTTAGTAGTAGGATTCGCTGTCGTTCGAAGTGATTTATATGTGCTCCGAAATCTTCTTGTGAGCACCAAATATCTATCGGTTACTAGTAATTAAAAATTATCCTTTCAAAATAGGACAAAACATGTCATTTGATTCGTGTTTGAAACGATCATCAGATTTAATCAAAACCAATAATCGTTAACTGAAACTATTCAATGTGTAGAAGCTAGATTCCGTAATCGTTCTTATATTGCCCAGTTGATCGGAACACTTGATTATAGAGTTAACTTCTTACTAGTTCACCTTACACCTATCAGACCAATGACCTTCACTTCGATCAACAACAACCACCGGAAAATCTTAAATCATATTGCTCTAATGGACTTTTTTCCCCAATAGCCAATCAGAAGACCTACATAAAACCCTATAAGCTATAAGTGTGACGCAATCGCAATAAGTTTGCACACATTAATCACACGACCGCAAAGTACCATAAATGAGAGATCATAATTTGTACACAAGTCATTAGTGATACAAAATCGCGGCAGTAAGTGAATAACTAATCTATGATAATGACTCTAGATGTTACATCACTCCCTAATTTTCCTCTTGCATCTAACAATAATGTCCTCTTTAAGCCAGAAAACTTTACAAATATTCTGTTGACTGATAATTAACTTATATTTTTTATAATGTAGCATTAATTTAAATTCGATCCTCATACAGTAATTCGTAATTTATTAGTTGACAGTTATTATGACGGTCATATGCTTTAAAAAGACTAGAATGGTTAATTTATTAACAAAAACACTGTCAAAATAATCTAAATTATTATTTGAGGAACATGTGGCTTGTTAACTGTCCAATAAAAAAATATTCACCATTCTCTGTTTACTTGTCAGATTTTATTACTCTAGAGATGACCCTGTAGAATTAAGAAAATTGTTAAATATGAATTCATTCTAATCAGATAGGGAGGATGTTCGTAGAGATTTTAGTAATTTCTAATAGTTAATTCATCAGTCAATTGAAGCTAGACCACCATGGAAAACCTGGAAGCACTGAATGGTCATTTCGTCTTATTATGGGACGGTGGAAAAATTTCATGGATTGGTTAAAGTTAGACATTAACACTGTTGGATTTAGGCTCAGTGGTCCGGAGGTTAAATTCTCGCGCGCAAGACCAACAGGTTCTGCATTCGAATCTCACGGGTTGGGATCGTGAATGCCTACTGTTGTGGAGTCCCATACTAGTATGAAACGGCCATCCAGTGCTTTATACATTTAGAAAAATTTCCTAATTTTCTTCATTTCGCTAAAAGTAATACTTTGAAATAACTGTTTATGTGAAAAGTGTAAAAAATGCAGATTTTTTTATTTAATATTCACATTTCTATTATGCACTTAAACTAAACAAAATGGCTTTTCAATCATTTTGACTTCATTCAATTTAATTTCATCTCATAATGAATGAAACGATATAGGACTATTATTGTTTATATAGTATAACTGGTAAGAAAACTAGCATGCTTCATTTAGAAGCAAATATTTCGTACGATTATTATTACCATCTTGTTTTGATTGACTATAAATACCGATTTATTAAAAAAATATCCAATCGTTTGTTTATCAGAGTATCAGTTATATAAATGATGTTAAGCACACTATCATTATTTTGCTAAGGATATAGGTAATTTAACATCGAATTTAGGTGTAGTTGGAAATGTCTTTTTTTATCTATAGAAGGGAAGAGAAAAAGCAACTTACCAAGTTTAGATTCGATACATATGTATCCTGCATACAGAGATTTCAATTTTCTATGTGGTTCATTTAAATTTGGCATGTCAAATCAGTCCTATTAAAAAAAAATAGACATTATATTTAGGTGTTTTAAAGCATAAAGGGTTTATTCATTTTCCAATACTTGAATTACTCTACGTTTCTTTGAAAAACAAGAATCCTATGGGTATTATTGAATGGCTAATGTACTATGTCACAAGTTGATTAAATTAGGGTCCACTAACTATTGGGATTTACCTTATTGGTTATACTAAATTCTTATTCACCTGTAATTAAACTCCTAAGATGTCTTCTTTTCTTTTATTCAAATTGGTTGTAGATAGTTATATAAACATTGTATGTGGACTGGAATAATCTAACATTGCTTTTTCTTTTAGTACAGGTGACGTCGTAGTCTTCCAGCCAAAAAAACCTTAATGATTCATTCCATGTTTAACAAGAACAGAAAAATCAGTTACAATAGGAGTATGATTCGATAGGTTTGGTAGGCCATATTACCACCATTAATGTTGATTCAATAAAATCGGATCTTTTCTACAATTTAAGCGCATTATGTAGCCTGTCAATGAAATACAGGCCTAAACAGTAAGGATAGAAACGTTTATCATTAGTGAATAAATTGTTTAATATACTTTTCATAGTAAAGCAATGGTAAGTATTATTTTAAAATGTTCTCCATCTTGTAAAAATGGCGTCTCTTTAGTGTATTCATGTTTTTCATAAATTGATTATTCGAAATAACTTTATGCTTGCATGATTGACTATTTTTACGGTCTATATCCCAAAAAATAATACGCTGTACTTTAAAATGATTCCCTCTACCACGAGGTGTTTTATTCAGATCTTATGCTTTACATAAATGACATATCTGTAACGGATATTCAGTAAAAATTAATTTTTAAATATTGTACCGTTATCTTTTGAAATTTTGACTTCCTTTTGTATTAATCAGATTACACTGATTGAAATCATGAGTCATTTGAAGCTAGATCAGCATGGAAAACGTGGAAGCACTGGACGGCCGTTTCGTCCTAGTATGGGACTCCTCAGCAGTGTGCATCCACGATAGGTCCTGGGTTCGAATTTCGCGGGGTGCAGGATCGTGGATGCGTACTGCTGAGGAGTTCCATACTAGGATGAAACGGCTGTCCAGTGCTTCAAGGTTTTCCATGCTGATCTAGCTTCGATTGACTCACGATTTCAATCAGTGAAGTTTCTAAAAAATCTCCACAAAACCCCTTCTGATATTAATCAGATTATATTTGTAAAGTTGTTTTGTCCAGTATTAGCTAAATATTTAGTAATTTGTCTGTTGATATCAGTTCTTGATGAAGACATGTGTAAAAATCTATTGGCGATAGATTACAATCTCTTGACTAATGATGTTTTTTTGATACTAAAAGGGTTATGGTATAGGTCGAAGTGAATAGTTTAGCAAATATTGGTGTCTAGTATTATTTGAATGAACTATACCCTAGCGTCTAACTTTGAAAGGTCATTCTCATAGTTCGAATAACTTCTTTGACCAATGGGCTTCAATTATGTCTCACTAGTGACATATATCACCGGTGAGAATCGACGGTAGTCACACGATATGGAGAACTAACTGCAATTGGAAATGAAAAACGACTCAGGTTAAGCACTTTTGAAACTTGAAGGTCATGTTACCGATCCCTAGAGGGCCATAAGTGGCCACTGTCGTGAAGTATTTAACTTGGATGTAATAGGTGTTAATTGCACCCTAGTTTCGAATGGTTGTCTAGTCAAGGTCAGTCTACTGTGTGAAAATCTAAATTTAACAATTTCCACAACACTTTATAATAACTACATACATACTTAGTGGTTCAGACTATCAAAATAAAAAATTTACTTCTAATAAAACTATGTTAAGCTCGCTAAATTTATTAGTTATCTAGTAAAAATGAACTGATAATGAATATGATAGATTTCAATTCGCTTTAATGTTTGATTCAAACAGTCAGTAATCACTTTTTGTATACTACAAAATGTTTCCGTTCATTTACCATGTAACATTAAATGATTTATTGAATTAATTAGATGAAGTTTGAAATCGATCTTTATAATGTTTTCTCGATGATACTGTTATACGATATGGAGAACTAACTGCAATTGGAAATGAAAAACGACTCAGGTTAAGCACTTTTGAAACTTGAAGGTCATGTTACCGATCCCTAGAGGGCCATAAGTGGCCACTGTCGTGAAGTATTTAACTTGGATGTAATAGGTGTTAATTGCACCCTAGTTTCGAATGGTTGTCTAGTCAAGGTCAGTCTACTGTGTGAAAATCTAAATTTAACAATTTCCACAACACTTTATAATAACTACATACATACTTAGTGGTTCAGACTATCAAAATAAAAAATTTACTTCTAATAAAACTATGTTAAGCTCGCTAAATTTATTAGTTATCTAGTAAAAATGAACTGATAATGAATATGATAGATTTCAATTCGCTTTAATGTTTGATTCAAACAGTCAGTAATCACTTTTTGTATACTACAAAATGTTTCCGTTCATTTACCATGTAACATTAAATGATTTATTGAATTAATTAGATGAAGTTTGAAATCGATCTTTATAATGTTTTCTCGATGATACTGTTATACTTAATTAAGATAATCGGTTCATTAGTTGTTTAAAATTGTCAGATACATTGAAATCAATAGCATTCAGAAAAGTAATTTGTCGTTTAGTCCAAATATACCTGGATACTTAGATAATGAAGTTTGTCTAATTATTATATATTTGAAAATATGAAAGATACTAGTTTCTATTTTCAAAACACTTTTTGACAATCAACTTTTCATAGAAATTAAGTTATGACATTAATTGAATGTAAGAAGTGTCTATGACAAATGATATTTAGAAAATGAATATTTATGACAATGTCATGACGTTTAAGCTTTCTATATTTTAATCGTTTTAGTTATCCAAGTTACATATTCCTATGGTTTAGCTTATTTTGCAATGTATAATAAAGTTGGGGGCGGGAGGTGAGGGAACTTTGAAAAATCATAGTCAAAGTTAGTTCTACTTGAAAACCTTTTAAACTAAAGGAAAAATTACAGTTAATGAGATATTACTGGAAGACTTTAAAATGAATGTCAACAATAATTTATGTAAATTAAGACGATTTTGCTTAATATTATCAATTAGTTAACATGTCAGAAGAGATATTTATTATATCTAGAGTTTATATTCTTAATAAACCGTGTATAACTTGAGAACCCGAACGTTAGCGCCCTCTAAGTCACAAATAAGAGAACAGAAGAAGACTGGAGAAAGTGCTTGTTGGGCAAGAATCAAGATGTACAGAAAATTATGGGTATTTATAGATATTAGCATTCATTAAATCAATATTATAATTCAATCAATCCGCAAAGAGGCATGTTATGCTATTGATTAATAGTAGCATACCACGTTAATATTCTAGAAAGCTCCATTACGTCCTGATTGGATGAAACTCCTCGGCTCCTCTAGGGCCTCTGGAGGTTCCGTTGTCGTTCTCGGAAGCCATCACAACAATATTTTAATCACATTCTATTTTAATACAAAACTTCCAAATTCATCATTCATCACTTTATCACATATAAGTTATTAACTTATATCTGTAAATGCTTTCGAAAACTGGTTTAACTCCAACTATGTTTAATTTTTATTATATAAAATGCATTTGATGTATGAATTTTAAATAAACTGTCTCTTGTTTTCCAAAGAAAAATACATCAATTACTTTAGTAGTAATAGTAGTAGTAGTGTAAAATGGTGAGGGAGAACACAGATGAGGACAACCGAATTATACTTAGCACAACATTACAAAGTTACTTGGTAAAATAGAAGAAACTATACCATAATAATTAATTCGCAAAATGTTCAATAATTATCTCAAACTTCATTGTTTTTGTATTTCTATACTAATTGCTTTCTATTATTGTTCTTCCTTTCTTGATCTTCTCAAACTTCTGCTGCTAGACATTACATTCTTGACTCGCATTATATACTGCTTATGTCAATTTAAGTAGCACACACCACAGTAGTAGTAGTTCCTAATGTGTTTTGTATTAATTATTTTCACGATAGGTTACAAGCTTCTTATTAAAACACATTGGTACATGTACTCAAAATATAAATGAACTAAATTTGAAACATATAAATTTGTTACAATATTTTTTCCTGACAGTTGGAGGACTGATGGCTCATTAATGTAAACAAGTTACCATATTGTTTGTAGCATTGAAAATATAAATTTCTATTTTGTAAAAACTGACAGATTGTTCATATCTGTTACAAAACAAGGAACTAAACTAAAGCAAAATTTTGTCTTATAGAAAGTAGTTATTTAAGTAAAACAATATTTATATTACACAATGTGTGATCTGGATGATTTTTCTTATGAGAAATTAACTAAAGCTTGCGTTTTACTATCAAGAATCTGAAAATGGCGTTTTTCTTTCAATTTACCATACGACTGGTGAAGTTTAATCCAGATAATATTTTAGTCCTTAACTAAAAATGCTTTATGTGTGGTGTAGTGTTTCTAAAGTTTTTGTGTGCCCAGACTAAGGGTTTATTCACGGTATATTAAATAACACAGTTTTAGTGTAAGGAGTTTGTGGAGATTGTTAGATTTTATTTTTAAGAACACTACAAAAGCTTTACATTCATAATAGTCACTGAGGGCAAATTTTGAGAGGCATTTGTCAGAATTTTAGTGGGAAGCTCTGGCCAGTGAGATCAAACAATGTTGGGTATGAGGTAGTTACCCGGTATTGATTACACAATATCATGAATTCGTTGGAGTTAGAAATGTAAACTATTGAATGACGACAGAGCGATTTGAAAGGTTGAATGTTCGCAGTGAGGTGTTAAGGTCTTGTGTTCTACACACAGTGAGGTTGTAGATAGGTACTTCTGAAGAGTTTTGCACTAGGATGACATATCTATCCGATGCTTCCTGAATTTCAATAGTTCTCTTATTAAAGTCAGTTATTAATGTGAACTACAAAATAATTCTGTTAAACAGTTTTCAAATATTACATGATTCTCTTACATTTCAACAAGACGATTATAAAAATTTATATTTTCCCGTTGATGATATCGAGTGGACCGTAATTGATCGATCTTACTGAGATATGTGTATGCTGTGCAAATTGTATCGATATTTTCACTTAGTTTCAAGTCTTTATGAAGTAGGATTGTGGCTAGTAATGGAATTTAGAATGAAGGTTTTGCCTCTTTTTAAAATTCATCAGATGGATGTACTTATGCGCAATTCACTAATTTGAAGGTAATCTAACATCTGCTGAAGTGTCATTAAAATAACTATAATGAAAGAATTAGCTACGTTTTCTGTCTGTTTAAATTTATTTAATGAAAATTGTTTATCTTAATATCTCAAATATCAATAAAATAATATTGTTTATAGAAGAATATGGTAAAGTAAGATGGTGGAAGGACATACGGTAGTGATATATAAATATAATCAGAAAGTTTTACTTCCTAACCTAAAAAAAGGAAACTTTTGAAAATATTGATATGGATGAAATTTATATTATTGTCCAAAGTATCGGTTTGTTGGGAACATTTTGGTATACAACTCGTATATCTTCGTTTCATTTTGACTGATACTTATAAGCCAGATATATTTGAAATCATTTTGTTGAAACATTCAGAACGAGGAAATTCTTCTTCTGATTTTGGACTCTTAAAAAGTATGCATAATAGTATGATTTCGAACTAATAACCTGCAAACCTTTCTACAAAACTGAAACGTTGCATCAGAATTCTGTGGTTTTTCGTATGGCGAGATCTGTATTTGATGCTAACTGTGGGTTATTAGCCAACTCCCAACCCAATTTTTCAGACAAATCACGACTTCCTAATGAAATATTTTAAAATTATTAGCGATAATATGGTTATTAACTATTTTTTCATTTGCCGAGATGTGTATCGCGTGTGTCAACCACCACCTTCCCGCATGTGTAATTATGGCTGGAGTAGGAATAAGTTGGACGACAGATAAAAGAGCTTAAACAAAGACATCGGACCAGTAAGAGACGTCACTAACTAGCGGTATGAGACACGTTGATAGATACAGACTGCATGATTAGGGTCTGGGTGATAGCCGGGTCAGTGGTTGTGGATATTGGGTGGCGTAACTCGGAATCGATCAGAATGGCGCATATGAATCCATTACTTTCCTTTCTCTAGATCATGTGACCCACTATTCCTTCATACATACCTTTAGATTCCATCTTCTTGAACCATATTCCTAATACTTGGTCCTTACCATTATCATTGTTAATGAGTTTATTTAGACACTTTTGGTACTCGTTTTCCTGATTTGATGCAGTTGTGCTCATGTGATATACTAACATAAGCTTACACATATTTGTATCAAACTCCACATTGATATTTGCCTAAGTACACAGCTGATAGTATACAAGCGTTATCAAGAAGCTTAATATATAGATTAAAAATTCAAGTAATTATACCTTATTTTCCCGGTCATAGAAAATTATGGGAATTGAAAAGCGAAAAGACACCACGCTAAACTCAAAATTATATTTTCCGATGTTTGTGTTTATTCAGTTACGATTAAGATCTGAAATAAAGTTAGTCATTAGTGAATGGCGTAGAGAGGTACATAAATCCTGGTCGTTTTAGAAGAAAACATACGGTTAACAAGATCAAAAGTATGAATATTATTCTCATCAGTAAAATATTAGGATAATCGAGTCATTACTAACCTAATTGAATTAGAAGATTATGACCTATAGATTTTGAAGTAATTAATCATTAATAAATTACACATTGCAGGTAGCAATTTCGATTTCAGAAAAAACTGAATGAATAATTAATTAATTAATAATGAAGCACTTCAAGTCAGAACGAAATATTGAGTAATTGATCAGAGAATATTCATTCACTATTAGCTGACCCATAAACTATTTTCTTCTTTACCCTTTGATTAGTACGTTACCTTATTTGTTATTTAGTCTTGAATCCATTTTATCATTCAATCTTTTCTATCCTCCTATTGACATATATCTTATCTGATAACTATATATACGAATGTACAGATTAAGTAAATGATTTCGTCGAAAAGAAAATTTTCTTCGTTGAATTCTTTTTTTTCTTCCTATTCATTGACACTATGGGTTATTTGAATATTTATTTTTTGTGTGAAAATCATGATTAGATAAATTCTATCTACTTACATGCATATTTCAATGATTTAGATCATGAGTCAGTTGAAGCTAGACCATCATGGAAAACCTGGAAGCACTGAACACACGTTTCGTCCATGCATATTTTCAATGATAGATTTTCATACAAATGAATATGATTAGTTTTCTGGAGTTTTGTGGAAAAGATTTTGTTCTGAACTATTAAAGGATTTTGGGCATAAGATATTTTATGATGAAGTCACTGATTAATGCTGTTCATGGGATTACTGTTAGAACTAGAAAATCTTGAGTTAATTAAATAATTTATTTGATTTTGATCAGGTTTACTTTGGATACGGTTTTACTTCTTAGTTTCACAATTTCTATTTACAATATCAAAATACAAAATAACCCAGTTTACACCTTCAGGTTTTTCTTTCATGTAAAGACTGAGATAGATATTTTCTGTGATATTGGACGGCGGTAGAACTATATTAAATGTTAACTGAATCTAGAAATGTTAACTCATGGATCCTAACTTTTAATGGTCTAAAAGTATCATACTAGGTACAAAATATAAAGGTCATTTGTGTGTACACTACTGAAGAGTTTCAAACTAGAGTGATCTCTTTTTTCCCCAGTGTTTCTCTAACTGACATCATTCTGTCATGAAAGGTAACTTCGAATTGAGGAATTTACCTAAGTATAACCTCTACATTGAAAAAACGGACCAACTTTTAAAAAAACATTATTCAAAAACAATTATATAAGAATATTTGATCAATATTGATACTAAACTCACTTTTAACCAGTTTTAAATGATCCAAATGGTAATAAATGGGATAAACGTCATCCAATATACTGTTTATATTCCTAACAACTAATATGATAGAAATAAGAGCCTTAGTTATTGATTTCCCATTATATGAGAGCTCAAGGTCGACTAACAAGATTGTCTGTCTACGATTGTTCTGTCTTCATTACATTAAAACACTTTATAACCAATCTAATATTAAAGAAAGTGTGACAGTTTTTATATTTATTTTGTTTACATTTTATTGAAAGACTCAATTATTGGTTATCATTTGATTGCCATATATAATGTATAATACCTAAATAAAATAAATAATTGAACTATATTATTGTTAGAGGGTAGTCATTATATATATAATTGACGATTTGAAACTTGATCCAATTATAATCTTATTGGGACATTTAACTATGGAGACTTTAAATACAATGATAATATTATCAGAATGGGTTTTGTGGAGATTTTTTTTTAGAAATTTCACTGGTTGAAATCATGAGTCATTTGAAGCTAGACCACCATGGAAAACCTGGAAGCACTGGACGACCGTTTCATCCTGGCATGGTATTCCTCAGCAGTTCGCATCCATGATCCCGAGAGATTCGAACCCAGGACCTACTGGCCCCGCGCGCGAGCACTTTACCACTAGACCACTGAGCCGGAACCCAACGGTGTTAATGTCTAACTTCAACCAATCTACGAGGTTGCGCCACCGTACAATGATAATAATGAAATTTTAATTGTGGTTTCTTGATATTTGAATATTAGTTTGGATGAAAAAAAATCGAAAAGTGATTATAATTGATAATTTGATAATAATGAATAAAAAGTTATAGAATTATGGTTTTATACTTTTCTGTACTACAAATGGTAATGAACGGAATAAGTTCACTTGATATTGTTTGATTGAATATTCTCATTAATATTTAGGAGTGCTATTGATCAGTTTCTTATTAGTATATGTGTATTCTGTGTATATTGCCTCGATATTTCGGTAATTTACAAGCATTATAAGCAAAGATAGATAGCGGCTAGCAATGGGAGTGAAAGGTACTGGGTTCGAGTCTCAGAGTGAACATCAATCACATGATGCAGGTTCATCCACCTGACGAGTCCCAAACAGGACAAAATGTGAGTCAAATTGAATTCTACTGCTAGCTACTATTCATCTCTGCTTATAATGGAATAACATAAGCTTTCGTTTAACGGGCCACCAGCTAGTAGCATTGTATCACTGATGGCTTCAGTTAGGGGCCTAGGTATATTAAACAAATAAAAGAGAAGTATTAGTAAATTAATATGAAATACTGTCTTAAGTCTTTGAAGATCCTACTGTCGAAACATTTAGTAAATTTATGCTTTCATTAGAATCCTTCAGAATCAAGGCTGGATATATTACAGTTACCCGATATGTGTTTGAATCTGAGGGAATATCAGATTATTTAAGTTTTTAAGTGGCATTAAGATGAAAGCCTTAGTTCAGGGCTTTTTGTTTCATTATTTCAGTTAGTGTGGCCAGATACATCATAATGATGATTTCATAGTATTAAACATTGTGATATATATTACATTCTATGTTTTATAGGTTTCATGACCATTTATTATCAAAATGAGCATCTTTAGTTTCATTCAAGTTAAAAATAAAAATAAAGAATTAATACCTACATAACGCAACAGATTGCTTTATCACAGTTAAAATTATGAACTGATCTTAGCTAGATCACCAGTGAAAACCTGCAAGCGTTGGGCCGCCGTTTCATCCTAGTATGGAACTCTTCAGAAGTACATCGACGACCACGCACGTGGGAATCGAACCTATTTGATTGCAAAATAACGTTTATGCAATTAGATGCTATAAACTAGGGACTGACAATAATTATTAAAGTCCAAATATTCAGACTTATTAACGAGCCTGAAAGGAAAGAAAAGATGGCTGGTTTAACTGCTTCTGAGGAAGATTTGAACTTAATTAGCTTTTAGAATAGGTCAATAGAACTATCGCTAATTTTTATCACTATTTCCAACGAAAGTCGTGGAAGCTCAAAAACGTCTCACTAGTTTCAGGCGGCGATGGTCATCTAATAATGAAGGCTCATTTTGAGAGTTCCTTAAAAACACATTAATCAGTTAGATTGCCTAAAATACAGAGGTTTGAATGTCATGTATAATTGTTTCTCACGGTAAGTGAACAATTATATTTCTAGTTTATGGGATAAATATCACTTGACATAGCCGGATTTCGATAACAAAAAATAACCCAAAAACCATTCATGGTTAAAGTTTGATTAGAGGTGTATTGACTGAATCACTGTCTTTTCTCACCAGAACTTGTACCCTTTAGTCATCATCATGTTAAAATGTTTTGCAAAGTTTGTGTATTTGGTGACTTAAATAAGTGCTGCTGACATCAGTATCCAGAGCGGCGTATTTCAGAATAAGTTCAAACTGTATGGTATATAACTCATCAGTGTTTTAATTTATGACACACATTTTCAATATTAATTCAATGAGATCTAAGTATATTCAATGGATTTGTTCTCAGTCATCGGTATGATTGTAGAATTGACTGATTTTGATAACATTACGCAATTAATCATGATGTCTGGTAACACTTATGTCCGTACAATGAGGGATGGGGACGAGTTGTGATTCCGTGAGTGAATTATTTTTATAATGTCGTCTTTAGTGTCTGGATCACTTATTATGTATTTTGTTATAGTAAATTTAACCCTATAAATTACTGATCGTGGTTTACAGTTGAAGGAAGAATGGATAGTCAATTTACAATATAATGCTACTGAATAAAGGATAGTTTTGTCACGCTACTCTCTACTACCCCATTATGGCTTAGGTCTTATAGGCTATGAAACTTGTTGCCTCAGTACTTTATCAGTTACAACTTGGAATCCGAATCGGTATAGTGCTTTCTGCTACAATGACAGAAAAATTATCTAATACATTTTTTAACTTCAGCATATAAAATTAGGAATTTATACCTACAAGTGACATGAAATACTAAAAGTCCTTGTTTAGTTTATTTTATTCATGAAAGGATGTAATGGGTGTTTGTTCCGGCAATGGAAAAGGAATTAGTAGAACAGGTTAATAACTTTAAACAATACACATTTTTGAGCTGAATTGTTTACTGTCACTATCATCAACATTCGAGACGATGATTTCAAAGAAACTGAGTGAATATTTGAAAATCTTCAGGATCATGACACTCAATACAGTCTCCGGTCATTAAATACACTGGAATAGATCTAACAATTAAATGGTTAGTTAATCCAAAATGGGTTTTAGATCCATCTTACTAAACAATTAATGTTTCTGAATATAATTCTCCAGGGATTTGTGTGATCATGAAACAGGGATGTCTCATTCTTATAGTGTTAGGTCATAATTTTCTGGGCTTGTTCAGTTTGTTATTTGATTGCTCATCAGTTAATCTGATAAGTAAGCTTAGATGAGGTTACGATCATTTTTATTCGTTAAATTTCACTACAGAACCTAAAACTAACTTCCATCTTTTAAAAAGTTGTGAAACATCATGTTTTTTATAGACGATAACAGTAGGTCAGATGAACATCAAATAATCCCAATAATCTTGCCAGTTAACTTATTTGTAAACATGGCTGTTTTCATTAGTTATTATTCATATTCATCAGGCGTAATGTATAAAGCATTAGTATAATGGTTGAATGCTATAGAGATCACGAGCCGACCTAAGTAAGATGACCACAGAGAACGGGGAAGCAGTGGACAGCTATTTCGTCCTAGTATAGGGCTTTTAAGCAGGGGGTATCCACAATCCAAGACCAGATCGAACAAAGAAACTTCAGGTCTACATGTGAGTGCCTAACCTTTAGACCACTGAACTGTCAATCAGTTTACATGTCTAATTCAAATCAATCCACGATATTAGGGACCCAGATGCCCAATGTTGAACAGTCTCATAGTGGGACTAAACCGTAAGTATTATCATTAAGTTACCATTAATAATACGAAAATTATTATTTCCACACTTTCTATGTGTATTAAAATTATGAAAGACTAATTTATATGTATTAGTTGTCTGATTGTTCGAATTGATGTTTAGAATTGAAAATGATCAGTTCCGGTGATGATTACCTCGTTATTATCACCAAGGCATAAACATTTTTAAGAAGAGATGAATGGTGGCTAGCAATGTAATCCAGGACAGGTATTTCGTTCTATTTAGGACTCATCATCTAAATATACAACAACCCTGTGGTGCAAGCACACCCAGCAAAAGAGTCTGAAATAGGATGGAACGCATGTCCCGAATTCCACTGCTAGCGACCATCCATCTCTACTTAAATGTGAGTGTTATTTTTAAGAGAATAGGTAATAATTCATAACAATTGAAAAATACGAGATGAACTAGAGTCATATTAATTGAACACGATCACTAGGTAAGAACCAACATTTGAAAAAACCTTTTACTGTAATGAGTCTACTTACTACTTTGATAACTAATTACACTAGTTCATCGTAATTATGATTCATCCCCCAGTATTGGATCAACTTATCCCTAGCTATTACCCTACTTAAAGTTTACTACTTATAAGTAACATGTTCAGTTAAACTAAAATACTTCAAAAGACGATAACAATTCGTAAAAAGTAAAATCAAATAAGATATTAGATGGAAGAAACTTTATGCCATGGATTTAATTGCACATTATAAAAAATTTTTTAATGGCATATACAAAACGGAATAGTGATATTTGGTTCAATAACTGTAACTTTAAAATTAGGAAATCGTAGTACTATTTTTTGACTTTGCTTAGTGGAATTTCAGTTCATAAAATTCTTTAAAAGAGAATCTACAAGGTCGATAATAGGTGACTGAGCTATTTGAATAAGGTAGAAGATTCAAGGAAATACAATATAGCGGTTGGAAATTAGGCCGTTTAGATGATTGTTATCGGAAGTAAATGTTTGTTAATTTCAAATTTTATCTTCGGCAAGAATTTAAAGTTTCCAAAGGTGAAAGCGAACGGAAAATCATAGTTAATACTAGAAACATGGTTTGATATATTAAAAATTCCTGATATAAATTCATAAATTCTTCAATTTCATGCACAACAAAAATAAAAACTTCAAATATGAATATAAGTTACTTGTGAGTAGTTTCTAACGATTGACTAAATATTTTGAATTAGCCAAAATGTTCACAAATTGAATTTTTGTTTTCTATAAACAATATCTAAAACAGTGATGAACCATTTCACTGTAATTCATCAGTGTTTTATAAATTAAAA